TTCACAGTTCAGTCAGCTCCTTGAATGACACTGCATTACATCACATCAGCTCTGTTAAAGAACAATTGAATATGCACAAAGTCACACGGACACAGCGTGCGCCCCGATGCCTCGTGCGACTCTGCGGGACTCATTGTGCGCCCCGTGTATTTGCGTGTGTTCTTTGTGTACTCGCAAGTGTGTGAAGTGTGTCCTCTTGAGCTTCTTGGGTCTACCGTCGTTTACACATTTGTGTTGGATGAGTGATGGGGATTCCCTGTTTACATTTCCCAGCTCTGCATGCCAGTGATTGCAGCGTGGGCCGAGCGCCCAGCAGGCTCCATATATAAACCTTATTCCCATATGGAGCAGCTCAGACCAGCTACGAGATCGTTTAACCGCTCTCAGTTGACTGTTTCGTTTTCACCGCAGCGGTGCACTGCGGCTTGGGATATCTTTCATTTTGGAATTTGCGGTAAGATTCGCGAGGATGTGCTGCACACATGTGATGTATAAGTCTGCTTTCGAATAGATCTTTAAATAGCAGCTTCCGAAGTGCTTGAGAGCCTCACAGAATCCAAGTTAGGTATTCATGAAAAATGAAATGCATCACAAGTATCCCAGAAGCCCAAATCCCAGATGGCACACAGTGGCTGGAGGGTGACATGGCTATTTTTAGCAGCCCAGCCAGCACAGCCCCAGCTTAGCTGGGGAAAACAGCCGGCTTCAGGTGCCACACTGAGACAAACGTGATAGTAACGAAGGACAGAAAGGTCGACGTTCTCCGGCTGCATCTTACTAAAGCACAATATTTTTTCTCTGTGAAAACGATAATAAAGACTTTGATGAAGAAAGCTGCTCTTTTTTTCGTGATTTTTTTCTTTTTTTCTTTTTTTTTTTTTATGTTTATTTATAAAATTTTAAGTTCAAAGTTACATAACGTCACACCAGACAAAGGACATAAGATTCAAAAACAATAACATTTAAGCACAGAAAAAAAAAGAAAAAACAGAAACCAAACACAAAAAAACAAACAAACAGGAAAACAGGAAAGAAAAGGAAAAAAATAAAAACAAAATAAATAAATAAAAATACACCAGTTAGCCAGTACAAATCAAAAGTTCAAAAGAAACACCATCGTCCAAAGAAGATGATCTTCTGTGTGAGTTTAGGGCAACAGAGAGTTCACCAAGACCAGAAGATGTGGGAAACATGTCCAGGAAGGAATCAGGGTCCGGCAGAAGTGCAGTTTCACACAAACTTCATGATATTTCTGAAAAAGTAAACAAAATGTGCGCGTGACAGAGCGCCTATTTTCACTTCTTCTTCCTTTATGAGAGAATCAGGTGATAAACCAAAGTTGTGGTGAGCGTAATCACCAGAGTCAACATATCGCCTGTGTCCATGAGGACTTTAAACAATTAAACTTCTGTGCCCATTGAAATATTTAATGTTTCTACTAAGTATTTGGCCGAATTTATGTCTTTAGACTTGAGAGTATGTGGATATCGTCGATAGATTACACAAGTGTAAGCCCCAGACGTCTACTCCATGGACTGAACCAGAGAAAAACTTATTTTTTTGGTTTATAAATTTTTTTATTGCTAACAACATACTCTTTTTTGACCCCCCCCCCCCTTTGTTTTTATTTAAAGGAATAGAAAACCTGTATGAGAGAGCGCTGTACATCCGTAAGATCCTCCTGACCATTCCCAGATCGGTCCTCATTGTGATGCGCTACCTCTTTGCCTTCCTCAACCAGTGAGTTTAACAAAAAAAAATCCTAAACATCATGATTGCTCAATGATTTGTCTGAAATACTTATACTAAAATATTCCAACCTTTTACTCCTTTATATTTTGTTTCTTCACTCTCCATCTTACCTCCGTCCCTCCCTTCAGTCTGTCCCAGTACAGTGATGAGAACATGATGGACCCATACAACCTGGCCATATGTTTTGGCCCAACACTCATGCCCACACCAGACAGCCAGGACCAGGTCTCGTGCCAGGCCCACGTCAACGAGATCATCAAGACGATCATCATCCACCACGAGACCATCTTTCCCGATGTCAAAGAACTGGATGGGCCCATCTATGAGAAGTGCATGGCGGGCGGGGACTACTGGTAAGAAATAAGAACGTATGCCGACGGTGCTACACCTAAATCAGGTGAAGTGCCGCATTTACTGCACCCAAACATCCAGAGATGTTCACACTGGGGAGTCGATGTGAGCTATAACACATACCTAGGGATGGGTATCGTTTAGGTTTTATCCGATACCAGTACCAAACTGGTACTTTTGATACGGTGCCGGTGCTTAAACGGTGCTTAAAGAATGGAGAACACAAAATTGGTCCAAAAACCTCTCATGTTCAGCT